GACATATGAATTAATTAGCTTAAATCATTGCCAAGTTTAATTTCCATACAAGTTTAAAGGAGAACTACACAGCACTCAAACCAAGAGGAAGTATTAATGATATAAATGACAGAACACAATTAAATCTATTATTCATCTGTATAAATGGGGACAAAGTACAATGAGCAGTAAAATAAGCCTAGAATCACAGCTAATTGGATTTACAAAAACCATATCAACTCAAAACATGTTCTCAGCTTAAGCCCTTGTCTCTTTTGAGGAAACAACCCATGTGCCTCATGTGGGAGATTATAGTCCCATGTTTTAACTCTTTCTATATGTGGGAGTGGGTAAAAAGAGATCTTTTAGCCAAGAAATACATTCTGGGCCCAAACACTAGGGAGGTGACTAATCTTCATGAATTTTATAGAAAGTTAACATTACTCTTTTGGATAAAAAGAAAAAAAATGAGGACAAAAAGAGAAAATTAGAACACATACCCAGATAGTAAGGAGATTTTTTGTATGTGTCCTCAGTTTCTTTAGATTTATTTTTCCTGTGTGGATGAAATACCTCTAAAGCAGCGGTTCTCAACCTGTGGGTCACGACCCCTTTGGGGGTCGAACGACCCTTTCACAGGGGTCGCCAGGTACTCATATGTGGGCGTATCTGCATGTGGGCCTGGAGACGGATAGAGGAGCGGTGTCTCGGTTCCTAAGACCATCGAAAATATGTGTTTTCTGATGGTCGTAGGCGACCCCTGTGAAAGGTTGAGAACCGCTGCTCTAAAGGGAAAGAGTGCTTTTAGCAGCAAGTAGAATTTTTCTAAGTGGCTCTGGGAGAACAAAACAATTGTAAAAGTAACTTTTATTCTGAAGTTTTTTATTTAAAAGTCATAGTAACCTGAGCTATGACCTATTACTTATCCTGTTAGAAAAGAAATTATAGATACCAGAAAAGAGGTATTTCAAAAACTCATACAACCTCACACTTACTGTCAACTGATTTTTGAAAAGGGTTCCAAGATAATCCAATGGGGGAAAATAGTCTTTTCAACAATGGATTGGGACAACTGGGTATCACACACATAAGGATAAAGCTGGACCTTTACTTCACACCAAATATAAAAATTAACAAAATGGAACAAAGACCTAAATGTAAGAGCTAAAACTATAGGGCCGGCTGAGTGGCGCGCTGGTTAAGAACTGGCTTGGGATGCCAGAGGGCCCCAGTTCGGATCCCACATATGAGGGCCAGTGACACTGCCCTCTGCAGCTAAGATGGTGAGCAGCAGCTCGACCTGGAGCTGGGCTGCCATGAGTCGCCGACGACGGCGTAGGCTGCAGTCCCCTGCTGCAGTGGGTTGCCATAAGCTACCGTGTGTAGCCGGCAGCCAGTGTGAGTGGCCAGCAGCTGCTGTGAATGGCTGTCCAGAGGCCGGTGACTGATCTGCCTCGCCTGGGAAGAGCGCAATGATGGTGCCAACTTGGGCCAATCAAGCAACATCCTCCACAACTAGACTGAAGAACAAAACAACAGCAACTTGTTTGTTCCCCTTCACCTGATTCCCCAATAAAAAAAGAAATCTTTAAAAAAAAGAGCTAAAACTATAAAATACTAGAAGAAAACATGGACATAAATCTTTGTGACCTTAGATTAGTCAATGATTGCTTGGTTATGACACCAAAAGCATAATCGACAAAAGAAAACATAAACAAATTTGACTTCATTAAAATAAAAACATTTGTGTTTCAAAGGACACCAGCAAGAAATCTATAGAATGGGAGAAAATATTTGCAAATCAAATGCCTGATACTAGATCTGTATCTAGAATACATAAGAAACTTCTATAGCTCAATAATGAAAAGATAAAAGACCCAATTTAAATATTGGTAAAGGATTTGAGTAGACATTTCTCTAAAGAAGATATACAAATAGCTAATAAGCACATGAAAAGATGCACAACATCATTAACATTCAGGAAAATGGTAATCAAAACCACAATGAGATACCACTTAACACCCACTAGGATGGCTGGAATAAAAAAGACAGATAATAACAAGTGTTGGCAAGGAAGTGGAGAAACTGGAACTTTCATTCGTTGCTAGTTAGAATCTAAAATGGTGCAGCCATTTAGAAAAATGGCCTGGCAGTTTCTCAAAAGGCTAAACACAGAGTCACAATACGATCTAGCAATTTCCATTTTAGGTATATAGATAAATGAAAACATATGTCCACACAAAAACTTGTATACAACTGTTCATAGCAGCATTATTCATAATATCTAAAAAGTGGCAACAACATAAATTCCATCAACTATGAATGGATAAATACAATGTGTTACATCCATACAATGAAATATTATTTGGCAATAAAACGTACTGATACATGCTGACACATGGATGACCCTTGAAAACAATGCTAAATGAAAGAAGCCAGTCACAAAGGACCACATAATATAAGAGTCTATTTATACGTGATGTAATGTCTGGAATAGGCAAATCTATAGCAATAGGAAATACATCAGTGGTTGTCTAAGGCCGGGATGGGGGGTATTGGAAAATTGGGAGTGACTGGTAAACACAGGTACAGTGTTTCTTTTGGGTGTGATGAAAATGTTCTAAAACTGATTGTGGTGATGTTGTATATACCTGTGAATATACTAAAAACCACTGAGTTTTACACTTTAAATGGGTGAATTGTATGGTATATGAATTATATCTCAGTAAAGCTGTTTATTAAAAAAAAAATGTAGAAAAGACATTTGTCACATCCAAATAAGGCATTTTAAATCCAGTGCATGATTCTCTATGCTTTCTCTTTCTCTGCCAAGGCAATCATGGAAGCACATATTGATAGGAAGGAGCACCAAGACTTAATTAAATACAGAGCCAACTCAAGAAGGATACTGTTCTGGAGTGTCACCCAGACCTATAGCTGACTTTGTGTGAAAGATAAATAAAATTTTGTGTTTTAAAAAAACAAACCCCACCTCATCTGGATTTTAAGGCTGAAAGAGGATTTAGAGATAGTTTACCTAGTCTAGGGTTTCTCTGCTCCTTAGTATTATTGATATTTTGGGTTGGCTAATTCTTTGTTGTGAGGAGCTGTGCTATGCACTCACTGTAGGAACTTAGCAGAATCCCTGGCAGCCTCCGGTTGTGACAACCAAAAATGTCTCTAGATATCGCCAAATGTCCTCTGGGGGTGAGGGTGGGGCGGGGGTGTTGAGAAACTGACTTAGTCTAACATTTCCCAAAGAGTGCTCCTTAGATTATTAGTTTTGCCCACTAATGCAGAAGAAAAGGGTTTCACAGTTTAGTAAGTTTGGAACACAGTTAGCTAAATGAATTGCTGGCATATTGCAAACTACTATTAGGAGGGTCCTAGCACAGACTCTCCCAAGAGGTCGCCTCCCATTCTGGGATTCTGGATGTAGTAAGAGGGTGTGTCAAGGTAAAAATGGAATGATAAGAGCAGGCATGTCAAGCGATCCTGAGGCTATCTCCCCCTCTTCTCTGCAGTTCAATGACTATGCATTTTCAGCTTCACCTGATTTTACTTCTTTAATTAAGTTCTGATAATGAAGGAATGAAGATATGATGCATGGATTTATTTGCAAGACAGGTCTCAAATCTAGCCTTAGTCAGAGTGAATGTGTCAGTGAGTATTTGGAACATATGAAAAGATGTGATAGCATCCTCAGGATCAAAAGGGATGTATGCAGATATGTTCCAGTGTTTGCTTATCTGATGGGGCTTATGCTCAAGACCCAGCTCTGTACCGTGAATGTCACAATAGGGTAAAAATGTTCATAGGCTCTTTTAGAAAATGCAGCTTAAATATGAACATTAGTAAAACACGGAAACACACTCCATGAAATGACATCCAACGATGTTAAAAATTGGAAAAAGGGCTTAGGCTACCAAAACTTTTTAGAAATCCAAACAGGATTTTCAATGGGTTTTTATTTTTACCATCTTAGGATACAATTTGGATCTAACTATATGATGCCAAATAAACTTAGAATAATAATTTTGAAGAGCTTCTTTTCACAACAGGTAAATAATATATTGCAGGAGCCAGGTTTGCCTCTAACATTTGTGGGACCAAGGGCAAGAGTCAAATGGAAGTCTGTATTTCACATGCCTATGTATGAAAACGTTATAAATAAAACATGTCTTATTTTCCTAACTTGATAACTCCATCTTCCTGATGCCCTCAAGGCCAAGTCTGAATGTGTAATTCTTGGACTCCCTGGAGTTCTGCACCAGGACATGGAGGCATGCGGGGGGCTGGAGCCCAGGCTGAAGTTGTGCCCCTTCTCTTCCCATCCCTGGCTTTGACTGAGAAGCGCCTCACGTACATGAGTGTGGACGCCCCGGCCCACACATCCATGCTCTGTGCACACCTCCAGCTCCCCTCGGCCACCTCACGCGGAGGAGTGCACACATTAGTGGCATGGTCTGCCCTTGGGAAGATGGGACTGGGGAAGAAGTGTAGGCAGGCCTTGGAAATGGGCTTGAGGTATCTGGGCAAGGGGTCCTGGGTGGTCCAAGGTATCCAGAGCTGGTCTGGAAGGGACGGCTGTGGGTTCTGAGTGAACGCATCCCCTTGGCCCCATAGTCTCTTTACCCTGTGAGGAGGGGCGCGGCCAGGAAGGGTCAGCGCAGGGCCCTAAAAGCCGAAAAGGTGGAATCAGCGGAAGCCACACATTCTGGAGCCCGGTAAGTAGTCTACGATGTGTAACCTTGGCATGCAGCTCAGGCCTGCTGCAGCAGGAGAAGGGAGGCCAGACCAAGCTTGTCCAGGTATGGAAGGTGCATCATGCCTCGCTTGCCCTGGAGGGTTCACAGAAGCTTATCAATGCTCAGCAAAGCCAAACAGCCCAACCTGGGAGAGACTGCCTGGATTTCAATGCCAGCTTAGTTAATGATTTAAAGGGGCCTTCACTTTATGGAGGAAATGTCTAGAAGGTTCTGGTGTTTGTCCTCCTTGTTGTATGTAACCCTGCTCCCTCACCCACCACTGTTCTCAGACTGCTAAGGACCCATCAGCCCTTTTTTGCCATCCTCTCAGCCTGTTACTAGTGTTGACAATTTCAGCAAGAATCCTGAGAGGTGTCCTCAATTCCATTCCTGTCTTCCTAATCCCCAGACCTGAATGAAATCCACCATGCAGTTCTTTCTGTTTCTGCTCCAAAGCAGAAGATAATTCTGGAGAAAATTAGGAATCTGAGCCAAGCCAATGTCAGCTGCCTGGTTCCAGCTGAGTCCTCACTACCAAAGTCAATTCTCTGATTTTTCAGTCAAGGTACGTGCCTTCCTACCACATTCCCCACGGCTCCTTTTCTGAATCTTCCTACTTCTTTCAAGCCCTGATCTCACCTCTTGCAATATCACTTTCCCATCTTGCTTAATAGAAGAAATAAAAATTCTACAATGTGAGCCCCCTCTCTCTGCTTCTTTTCTGCTGAGAAATATTTAAACAAGACATTTCCTCTTCTCCTTTCCTCTCACTTCAGAGGAAAAAGGGAACCCTTTCTTTTCCAGGGTTTGTTTTCCTCTTGGTTCCTGGAGTCCAGGGATTCCCACTCCTGCAAACATTCCATCATGCACAGTCCCTTCTCTGTTCTACATCTTCTATTTCTTAGTATGCTACTTTTCTTACTCACTCTTTACTACATCAAAACATCCAATTTCTTGACCTACCTTCTCTCCTTCTCTGCAATCTATCAGCACCATGCTGGCTCACTTCTGTCACTGTTGAGCCTAGATGTCATTGTCCATCACTTTGAACATGTTTTCATAGCATCATCAATCCCCTTGCCTCATGGTCCCTCTGCTCCATCTTCCCAGCAAATTCCGTCATGGATCAATCCATTGTTCATTTTCTCAGCTATTACCTTTCATAACCCAAGATTTTTATTAACCCAAGATATTAAAGAAAATCCACAATTATGTTGACTAGTTCCAATACCAATTTTGGCCTCTAATCTCAGGCTCTTAAGAGGTAATAATCCTTACATTTGTCCTTCCTTGCTTAATACCATCTCCCACTTCCCTTGTTAATAATTCTAATCTTATGGCACTCTCAATGCTTACTCTTTCACTCATTATCTTCTAACCAACCTTCCTTCCTTCCTTCCTTCCTTCCTTCCTTCCTTCCTTCCTTCCTTCCTTCCTTCTTTTTTCACATTCATCAATACCTATATGCACTCTATATTTTTCTTTCCTTTCTTTTCTACCCCAGTCCATTCAGTAACCACATCCTGTCGATCTTTCCTCCCAAACATCTAAATCCACCCTCTCCTCTTCATTTTCTTAACTGAGGCCTTTATCTCTCTCTGCCTGGCCTTATTAGATTGTCTCCCAAATGGCATTCACTGATACTAGCCTTATCACTCTCCAATTTATCCTAGATGGTCCTTTCAGAGGGATACATCCTTAGGGAAGAGAAGTAGACGGTGAGTTGGGGCTGGGGGAGAAGGAAGGGAGGGAGCTTCAAAAGAGAGGAAGACGGCAAAGTTTGGAAGCCAAAGAGGGGCATTAAGGGGAGAATAGAAATGCCTGCTATTTAAACCCCCTCCTCTGTTTCTTCATTAAATCTTCAGTTAAATTTACATTGCTCACCTCTGCTTTGTGGAATTAATTTGCTTTTGGAGAAACAAAATAAAGTACTTGAGTTCTGCTTTAAGGCAAAATACAGTACACAGGAGGCCAGCTAATATCTGGCTTGCATGGCAAATTTATTCTTCATTCATTCATTTGTTTTTATTTAACAAATATTTATTGAGCACTGAGCATATGTCAGGCACATGCTAGGTGTTGGAAGGTGAACAGTGATCAAAACAGAAATAGTCTTGCCTTAAAAGCATTTACAGTCTAGTGGGAGAGCAAACAATCAGGCAAATTAAAATATGATAAGCGCTGTGACATGAGGAGTTTTACGGGAGTGCATAGAGAGGGGTGGAAGGGAGGTGAAGGAAAACTTCCCTGGGGAGGTGGCATTTAACCTGAGACCAGAGGGATGTGCAGGAATTAGCCAGGTATAGGAAAAAGTTGGAGAAAATCTTCTAGGAACATGAGAAAGTCCAGAGGCAAGAAAGAGCATGGTGAGCCCACGGAACTGAAAGAAGAGGGGAAACTGCAGGAAATGAGGCAGGAGAGGAAACTGGAGACACACCTTAACTTATAAGTTTAAAAGTTGAGACTATCCTAAAGGCAATGGGAAGCGACAGGCAGGCTTTAAACAATGGATGATCTGATCAGATTTATGATTTTGACACAGTGTGTGACAGGATGATATGTGAAGTATTAATGGAATGTACTGTCTCCATTCATCTCTCTCCTTGG